TCATGGGTGAGAATAAATATGACACTGCTGTCTGCTGCGACGTTCACAGAAACAGAAAACTTCTCCATTTTTCTACCTGAAGCCCTGGAATACCAGAACACAAATTAAGTGTGTAGGATTTGAGCAAAAAGCAAGTGTCTTCCTGTTTTATTCTCCTCACTTGACTAAACCAGCAGTCTGGCCAGATGACACAGCCTTCTGATACTGTTTATTGGCCTTCTCTTTTTCCTTCACTTCACCTGTATATGTCTTGCCATCAATCTCCCTGAAAATCCAAAAATGTCACAACATTAGTTGCAATAATTTATAAAACCGAAATGCAGTAGATTCTTTTGGCTCATGCTGAGTTCCGATGGGAAAGGACTGACATGCTAAAGTTGGTGATGAAGGACTTCTTGGGTAACTCCACGTCAAAGGACACTTCCTGTGAGACGTTGGCCTTATTCAGAGCTTTCGTGGTCATGACAGTGTGGGCGAAACGTGATGTGACTTTACAGTCCACCTTCACGCTCTGTACCTCTATCTGAAAGAATAAAAAAAATAAACATGCAACGTAAGGGTGATATACTTTGTCATTTCAACAATGACAACTATTCTTTCCTATGGTACATTGCTTGGCAACTGATATATAAACTTCTTGTTGCAACAAAAGTATTTGGTAACACTTTACTTGAAGGGGTGTGCATAAGACTAACATGACACCTTCATAATCATGACATGACACATGTTATGAATATGAAGGAAGTTTTATGCATGTTTATGACAACAGTCATTAAGTGTCATTTGCTCAATTATGACATTTTTAATGCAAATATGACATTGTTTAAGATGTCTTTGTTATGACGCCTTGACATAAACAAATACATCATAACCTGTCAGTGTCTTTGTCATGACAACTTGACATTACTAAGACAACACAACCTGTTATAAACATGACATAGCAGATTAATTATCAAACTTAAGAAACCTTCTTAGCTTTATTGGTTAACATTACATTAAACTATCAGGTGGTTGGTTTTGACATTGGCTGTCATGAAGCCATTATAACTGTTTAATGACAAGTTCAATTTGTACCACTGTAGTTGAGGTCACGAAAAAGATTCATGACACAGTTATAATGGCCTTATGACAGCCAATGTCAATACCAACCAAATGACAGTTTAACTTAATTTAATGTCAAGTTGTCATGACAAAGAAACTGACAGGTTATGATGTTAGGGTTTATGTCAAGATGTCATAACAAAGACATCTTAAACAATGTCATATTTGCATTCAAAATGTCATTATTGAGCGAAAGACACTTAATGACAGTTGTCATAAACATGCATAAACCCTACTTCATATTCATGACATAAGTCATGTCATGGTTATGAAGGTGTCATGTCAGTCTTATGCACACCCCTTCAAGTAAAGTGTTACCAAGTGTTACTAACCCTAACCCTTTGAAAGAACCTTTCCAAGACTATCTGAACTCCACAAATCACAGAACTTTTAGTGAAAGGGCAAAATATGACACAAACACATGTTGCAACCGCTATTGTCTATTGACTTAGACTGCGGTCATTTCAGGATAAAGGTTGAGCTTGTTGAGGTCAGTGTCACCTACACTACAACATTTCAAATAACCTATAATGTAAATGAACTAAATTTTATTGAAGTTGAATGTCATGAATAACCACAGTAAAATGACATGCAGAAATATGAACACACAGCAATATTAAAGGGATAGTTCCCCCTAAAAATTGTAATTGTCATTAATTAACTCAAGTCGTTCCAAACCCGTAAGACTTTTGTTCATCTTCAGAACACAAATGAAGATATTTTTAATAAAATCTAAAATATTTCTGTTCCCCCATTAACAGCTACGCAACTGACACGGTGATGCTTCAAACAGTTCATAAAGAGATCGTAAAACTAATCCATATGAATTGAGTGACAGATTTTCTGAAAAGACAAGATCACTTTATGAACAGATTGAATTTAAGGCTACTACACCGCTTAATTCATATGGTCTAGTTTTATGATCTCTTAATGAACTTTTTGAAGCGTCAAAGTGGTAGTTGCAGGGTTGCCAACTGTCCCGTATTAGCCGGGACGTCCCGTACATTGGGCCTAATTTATTTGTCCCGTACGTGACCTCCCTTGTCCCGTTTGTTGACTTTTTAAGCTGATCTAACCACTGACTGATGCAACACGACACTTGAGAATGATCACGACACCGGTCATCATCCAATCACAGCGCTCCCTCACGCGCATCAGACCATACGAATAACAAACTCTAAATTGAGAATTAATCATTCTTTTGGGACAAATCATTGTTTGATTTGCGAACAGAATCTGCTGTCTGGTTGCTCCCGGTTCGATCCGGACTCGCGCTAACGGCAAATCCCTTTCACTCTCCGGGTTTTGATTTCGGTAAATCAGTTTTGGCGAATTCATACAACGTGATTATTGTTCATGTGTCCAACATCCAGCCACGCAAGAAAACATGCAATCTTCCTGAGGAAATTATATGCTGATGTTATTTGCTGCTCAAGAAACATTTCTGATTATTAGTAATGTTTAAAAAAAAAATTCAGGATTCTTCGAAGAATAGAAATTTCAAAGGAGATTTATCTGAAATAGAAAGCTTTTGTAACATTAAAGATGTCTTTACTCTCACTTTTGATTAATTTAATGCATATTTTCTGAATAAATGTAGGTTACTACTTTCTTTAATTTCTTTGAATTATTATAATTTTTTGGGAATTGACCCCAAACGTTTGAACTAGTGTATAATGTTACGAAAGCTTTCTATTTCAGATAAATGCTATTATTTTGAACAATGGTTTGTGTGTAATGTGACATTTTTTGTATGACATTAAAATTCGTTTTAGAATTAAACTGTACATAAATAGGTTAAGCAAAACAAATGTGTTTATGTCGAACCTTTTATTCACATTTACAGACACTGAAATGACAAACACCGTGTGATGGGTGTCCCTTATTTCCCTATAAAGAACCACGATTGTACCGTATTTTCCTTTTCTGGAGTTGGCAACCCTAGTTGCTGTCAATGGAGGGACAGAAAGCTCTTAGATTTTATTAAAATATCTTCATTTGTGTTTTGAACATGAAGAAAGTCTTACGCGTTTGGAGCGACAGTGTGTTTTTTGGGTGAAGTAAATTAATTGAATAAAAGGTAATAACATATAATTCATTAACTTTATATAAATTAACTGCATTATAAGTATTTTTAAGGGTCAAATCAGGTAAAGATAGCTCATTAACTGCCCACATTCATTTCAAATGGACTTTCAAATAACAAAGTCTTGATACAATTGTGTGAGATGATGAAGATTTCCCACCTTACCACTGCTCACACTTCGCTTCTGTTAGGAGGCAACAGGAACATTTATTTTGTATGGCAATTATATGTTTAGAAAGTTTGTAAAAGGTTAGTATAGTCACGCTAAAACACACAAAAAATAGCCTACTTCATGTATTGTGAATTACTTGACTACTTTCAACATCAGTAGTACATCAGTGGTTCTCAAACTTTTTGACTTAAAGGCTTTTTTATTATTGGCTTGGATGTTTACTCTTAGTAATACCGGTAGTTATTTTCTGCTGTTATTATGACAGTGCTGCTTGTTTTTGAACATACAACTGACATTTGTTGATAAATTCCAATTACATTAATTAAAGTTACTTGCGCTTCGCGCTTGATACTTGCGTTTCAGATCTTTAAAATAGGGCCTATTGGTATCTATTGGCAATCGCAAGTCTGTATTTGCTTTGTAGCAGCAGCAGTGTGCGTAGCAGATCTAGTCCACCAAGACCAAATACATCAACATACTAAAACTATTCTGAGAGTTGTCATTATTGAATATAAATTTGAAATTAAATGATTTGAAATGAAGTTTGCTGAGGCCCCCCAGTTGGCCCCAGCCCCCTGATTGAGAACCACTGCTATATGTAATCTACTATTGGCATAGCCGACTTTTAGCAACATTGTTCCAATACCTTTAGGAGTCTGGCCGTGCTGGTTTCACTGTCCTGGAGGGGCATAAGAGGACGTATTACTGTACAGATAAACTGTTTTCCCCATCAACAGGGATTTGAAAATGTATTGACATTGAAGACATACTGTAGCTCAGAATGTTACTGATCACCGCTAATGTGATAATGATTATAAGGCACTTTATTAGTGCAGCAAAACATAAATTAGGATAGCAAAAGTAGACCTACCAATTTCCCATCGCCTTTTGTGGTGACCAGGGTCTCAAAAGACCCTGAAATATAACATACGCACACAAACACACAAAATATCCACCCAGCAGACATGGTGCACTGTCTGCTAAATCACATTCAGGACTTTTGAATACTCTGAACCCTTGTGTACACTTTAAACCAGAGCAAATACCTGTTTGAGTGGGAGTTGGGGATCTGTGATCTTTGTTCCCAAATTCTTGAATTGAGTGCAGTATTGATCATTTGTCTCATGGTATTTTTGTATTAAAAATACCATGCCCCACCCCCCCCCCCCCCCCCCCCCCCCCACCATATTAACAACAACAGTAAAATAAGAGTGCTGTCTACCTGTTAGTCAGATGCACATTAAAAAGTTGTGTTTATTACTATAACAAACCCTACACACTTTCTTTCAGAATCATCATTGGTCGGTAGAGAGAAATATTCAATACATAAAAGCTTTTTAATTAAAATGGAGATAAGCAAAAGACCCCCTTGTCATGTGAGGTATGTCTGGTATAAATAAATATATTAGGAATAATGCAATGAAATTTCAGCCACCAGTGAACGAGCCAGAGAAAGAAAACAAACAGGGCTTTTTTTTTTCGCTTTCTCCCCCCCTTCTCTGAACCTTCTGACCCTTAATTCGCACCCTGCTTGATGTTGTTCTTGCTCACGAAACTTTCTTCCCTCATTGAGTTACTAAGTGATTTCATGTTGGACTTTGTTCAATCAATCAATATTGCAATAAAAGATGGAAACACAAGGAATGTTTAGATGGGCATTTTATTTCATAGCCATTGAATTCCAAAAAAGTATATAAAAATGTCTATCACAAACAGCTTTGTAATGCAGCTTTGTCAAATATGGCATTATATCCAAATAAAAACCATCACATCATGTACTTAAGACTACATGAAAGCTAACATGTACTTTGTCCGTAGTGCAAAGGTCGGTTGAGCGACAGATGTTGTCTAGATTGTCTTAAAGAGACCAGAAACGATGTAATCTGTGTGAACTCCATCGAGGAGTCCGGTGCCATTTTTGTGAATGAACCAGCAGGGCACATTGTCTCCATTCTTTACGTCCTTTCTGAAATCTCTCTGCCAGCCCCTGGAGTCATGTGAGATTCAATGAAAATCTGCATGAAAATCTTCAAGTGTGAATTCAACATCGCATATTTACGTTCAATTTCACTTACCTGGTAACCGTGAGCTTGTTTCCTTTCACAAACATAATGGCATCTTGTTTATCAGGGTCTTTTCCTAGAAACAAGTCACTGACCTCAAAGTTAACACCCTGGTAGAACTGACCTGCAGTAAAAATAGAGACCAAAAAAGCTATTGTTAACGTCAAGATTAGTGGAGTGGAAGTCTAGTGAGGTTGCAAGTAGCAGCAGTATTTTTTACAAACTGTGTTCTTATACACTCAAAAGTGACTCTGACTCGGTCCATTATGAGGATTTCCCCTAGTTTTACATTTAGATTATCTGTGATGTCATCTAATGCTCAAGGTTAATCTTTAAAAAGGTCAATAATTTAATGTGTTTAGTATAAACTATAGCATATCTCAACATGAATATCCATTTTACAGTTCATCATACTGTACCTTATAATGTTATGGTGCCCACATTTATTTAGACAACATAGTATATAATTTTAATATCAGCCATTTATCAGTTATCGGCGTTAACATATATAGTCGGTATCAAAAATGAGCACTTAAATTACCTAGATAATGCACTTAATTACCCGCCCCCCCCCCCCCCCCCCCTCCAAAAAAAAACCCCTCCTATCTATACCAGATGACAAATTTTTATACACTAAACGATAGAGTAAGTGCATAGTGTATAGGATGTCATTTGGGATTTTTTTTGGTAACACTTTATTTCGATAGTCCACTTTAGACATTATACTAACTATAAGTAACTTAGCAGCTAAATGTCAACTAACTGTCATTAGAGTATTAGTAGACTGTCTGCTTAATATCTGCTAACACTTTATTTTGTTGGTCCCCCAACAGACACTCTACTAACCAGTGGCGTAGGTTTGATTTTTAAATTGGTGGGGACGGGGACATCAATATTTAATATATTTAATGTTTTGATCGAAAATATTGCTAGGGATATATCAGTGTCACTGGATATTGGTAGGGACACGTCCCTAGCGTCCCTACTAAATTCTACGCCCCTGCTACTAACTATAAGTAACTTAGCAACTACAAGTCAACTTGTTTTTCTAACCCGAACCCTAACACCTAACCATAACCTACTAGTCTACTGACAGTCTACTACAGTCTACTAATACTCTAATGACAGTTAGTTGACATGTTGTTGAAAAGTTACTTATAGAATGTCTAAAGTGACTATCGAAATAAAGTGTAACCTTTTTTTTTTAGACAGACAGCAATAAAAAATACAAAATGTTTAGTGAAACTAATAAATAACAAACTTGACTTGACATAAAATCCATAGTGTAATTTTAAAAGACATCACTAGTTTCATCACAAAAAAACAAAAACAAAAAAACCCCACATAGGTTCCCTTATGTTGAATTAAAGCAGCTATAAGTTTTTCTGTTAATATTTAAGAACATCTAATTTTACCAAGCAGGCCGTGAACATTGTGTGAAAGATGGTGACTGTCCAAGGTGTAGAACCCGAGGTAGTCTTGATGATACGGGTGATTCTGCCATATTTTGTGCAGGATAATAAGAAACTTGACTGAGTTCCTCAGGGTCACTGTTAAACTGCGATCTTTGATCACCTGCAGATCCATGCTGGAGAAAGCAAAAGATGGAGAATTTGAGCTCAATTTGATTCTCATTACAGGATAATAGGGTAACACTTTATAATAACTACACGCTAATAATCATTAGTTAAGCATGAGTAAACAGTTAATTCATTATTCATAAAGCATTAATAGACATTAATAAGCAGTTTATAAATACAGCTATAAATGCTTTCTTCTTGATTTACAAGCATATCTATAATTTATTTAATAATTGTATTTTCATCCTTTATTAATGATCAATTTATTATTTCTAAATGATTAATTGCATTTTTTATAAACCAGTTATTTAAGAGTTTTCAGTGGTTCACAAGATTACTTAGAACGTGTAAGTAAATGATTAATAAACTATTTAAATGTACATTCATACATCTTATTATTCAGACATATAGTGATGGTTACTTAGTGTGTTAATAAATGCTTTATTAACATGTATTTAAGCTGTAATTCAGGGTTAATTCGGGTAGTTATAAAGCATTTAGTAGTGGTCAGTTAACTATGTTTGTGAGCTCATCTAATTCATGCCTTGTAAAGCATTTATAAAGGAGATTTAAAGGCTGTTAAATATTTCTATGTTCTGTATCACTGTGTTGTGTTTGTTACATTTCACTGTTTAGAAGATTGATGCGTCTTTAAATCTCCTTTATAAATGCTTTACAAGGCATGAATAGTCCTCACTTTAGAGTAGCTCACAAAATAGTTAACTGACCACTACTAAATGCTTTATAACTACCTGTATTTACTACATTTACTTACACTTTCTAAGTGATCTTATGAATAACTGACAACACTTAAATAACTGGTTTATAAATAATGCTATACTTCATTTAGAAATTATTAATTGATCATTAACAAAGTATGAAAATACAATTATTAAACGCATTATAGATATGCTTATAAATCAAGAAAAAAGTTTTTATAGCTGTATTTATAAACTGCTTATTAATGTCTATTAATGCTTTATAAATGATGAATTAACTGTTTACTCATGCTTAACAAATGATTAATAGCATGCAGTTATTATAAAGTGTTACCGATAAGGGTTAATGAAAAAATAAAAAATCTGCCTTTATTTTACTATCACGGACACATGTAAATTTATTGTCACTTACTTCAGTCCTTTTATAGTCCTGTTGTTAGTCCAGGACAATTTTGTCTGTTTTCCCTCTTCAGACAGTGAGATCTCCTTTGTGCTCACCATCAATTTGATACCAAACTTCTCATAAGCAATCCCAAAGTGCCCAAAATAAGTGTGCATCTTGCTCCCTGGGATCACCTTCTTATCTCCAATGATCTGGCCGTTCACTATAATGCCTGAATATTCATATGAGTAGAAAGAGAAGATGGAAAATAAACCTAGTTCCAATTACCCACATCAAAACCGATGTTTCTGTTTTTTTGACAGAATGAATCACCTGTAAGCGGGTCGCTAACCAAGTTGAAGATGGTTCCAGGTTTGTCATCAATGTTGAAGCACAGAGCATCATTCTGATCTGGCAGCTCAATGATGAAGTGTGGATCTCCATCAACTGCCAAACCCAAAGAACAAGAGACAAAGATAAGTAACAGGTAAGAAATGTAGTTCTCTTTAAAATGTATTCAAATTCACACCACAAAAATGACATCACTTCTCACCAAGATATGAAGGGAGTAGATTTTGGTGTTTTTTGGCAGAGAGTAGACCTTGGGGTCTGAGATTTTTGTGAGCACTGCCGATCAACTGAGGTGGAGCATAAAGTGCACCTATAACTTCAAGGGTAGAATTGTGCGATGGAGATGGAGACAGAGAGAGAGTCTTCATTCAAAAGTTTTTGCAGAATTCATTGTATAGTAAGACATGACAAGATAAGATAAGACACCTCTTAATGTTCACAATGATGGTTAAATCTAAGGTTAATTGACCCTTCGCAGGGAGCTTGATTGACAGGTGATCTGACCAATCATACTTCGCCATCCGCCATTTTGTCCGACAAAGCAGTCAGGAGAGTTAGTAGATTAACATGGGAGGATTTGAACTTGAAAAACGTAATATACTGATGCCTTTCTGCAGTTAAAACAACATTCCTTCTTATGTTCATTCATGTTTATTTGATGCTATAAATGAACTAGAAGGAAGAGATGATCGGATCACGAGCAGCTTTAACTGATGCTCTACAGCGATCTGTCACGACACATTAAAGAGCCACAAAACGGTATTTATTGTGACCAAATTTGAAAGGTGAGACTTTGTTTAATGTTTAATATCAAAAGTAACCGAAAAGTAACCTGGTCTGTCCTGTCTGTCAGCGTGTTGTCAGTCCGCGATGTATTTTTCACTGCGTGAGAACATGGTGTGTGTGTGTGTGAGAGCAGCGTAGCTTGTCGGACATAGCGACAGTAACTAAGGGGGGCGGGTCTTTGCGAACGGTCAATTCCTCTTACCAGGTTCTGTTGTGTCCTCTCGCTGCTCTGTGGATCAAAAGAAAATAGTATTAATGTGTCACATAAGCACCTTTGCAGAAAATTGTAGCTTCAAACGGTTACATTTTTTGAGCCATCATTGAGTTGTATTCAAGGCAGCCTAGAGAACTCATAATTTCTGTATTGCTTCTTTCCTTGACTTTTAAAACCACTTTATTGTGTAGAAACCAATCTGATTGGCATCTATGGGATTAGATTTCGGTCACAATTCTGCGCGTGCAAAATCACATTTTGAGCGCGCAAAAGGGCATTTCGCACGCGCGTGAACTGAGTTTTGAGGAGAAATGTTCGTCTCGCAGATAAGAAAATATTTCGAGCGAACGGAAATCAATTTTGCATTTAAAATAAGTATTTGGATGTGCACACACGTTCTCTTTCGCATGTGCAAAGTTTCACTTTCTTGCTCCTCTCATACCAGCCATAAGCGCTCTCGAAGCGCAGACGGCTCGCGTGCTCAACACAACCCAGCGTTACAATATGCCATAATTCCAGCCAATCAGAGATGAGGCTGCTAAATTCTGATTGGCTGGATTGAAAACCAATCACAAGACTCCCTGCATCACCGACTGTGGACGAGGAAAAATACTTTGTGGAATATGTTTATGTTTAATTTGTTTAATGGCTTGAACACTTCTATTTAAGTTCAATTGTCTACCACTCGACGATCACAGTTTATTTTTAGCTTATTTTAAGCTAATTTTCTTTAGCTTATTTTTAATCAAAATCAAATCGTACTATTACTGTACATAATGGCATGTCCCAGTGTTTGCTACACCTCAAGAGGTAGTTCTAACTTCTAATGTAATTAACATTAGTGAAATATGAATGTGACAGAGCTGGGGTCTCAAATGTTACACATTTTCAGAAATGAAGAGACTTTTCCCCTTTTAATGAAATAAGTGTGTAAAAACGGTACATCACTCACATCAGAATAAAAAAAAGCCATCAAATAAACGTAGAAATGAAATGTAATAACGTTAAAATAATAATCAATCTACTTCATATCCTTGGAATTATTTAAACAAAAACATTCACAGGAGATGTCATGTAAAAACAACTATCATACAAAAAAAAATATACTGTATTTTCTTATATACAATTTTAAGATGGATAGTGTGCACATTGGGATGCAGGCTTGTTCCCCTCACTGCAAAAAAATAAAAATCTAATTATGCGAGTAATTATATAGAAGTCTTGTGGGTCACACATCCAAGATTTTCACTTACAGTTATATTTGCATATATGTTTGCATTTTTACCCACGTCTTTCTTTTTTTTTTTTTTTTTGCAGTGAGGGGAACAAGCCTGCATCCCAATGTGCACACTATCCATCCTAAAATAGTATAAAAATACAGTATATTTTTTTAGTAAGATAGTTCTTTTTCCAGAACATCTCTGCTGTTAATGTTTTTGTTGACTTGAACTTAAATTGAAGTGTTCAATCCATTAAACAAATTAAACATAAATATCTTCCACCATGTATTTTTCCTAGTCCACAGCTGCAGGGAGTCTTGTGATTGGTTTTCAAGCCAGCCAATCCGAATTTAGCAGCCTCATCTCTGATTGGCTGGAATTATGGCATATTGTAACGCTGGGTTGTGTTGAGCACGCGAGCCGTCTGCGCTTCGAGAGCGCTTATGGCTGGTATGAGAGGAGCAAGAAAGTGAAACTTTGCACATGCGAAAGAGAACGTGTGTGCACATCCAAATACTTATTTTAAATGCAAAATTGATTTTCGTTCGCTCGAAATATTTTCTTATCTGCGAGACGAACATTTCTCCTCAAAACTCAGTTCACGCGCGTTTGAAATGTCATTTTGCGCGCTCAAAATGTGATCTTGCGCGCGCAGAATTGTGAACGAATTCTTACCCCATAGGCATCTACACAACTTCAGGGAGTTGGAGGTGTATAAAAAGAAAGGTAGGTTTACAAAGTGCTAGGCTGGTACAACACATGGTTCCATGGAAGAACTAGTTTTTGGATTTGTTGAAGTTAGTGAGGTTTGTGGAGGTAACAGTTTGATGTTAAGAAATTATTATGGCATCAATTTTAAATTTACCCTCCTGTAAACTACACTACTAGTCAAAAGTTTAGAACACCTAACAATCTCATTTGGCTAATATCTTTACGTGGAAAAGCAAAAGATACTAAAATGTTACAGTAGTTCACCCAAAAATTAAAAAATTCTGTCATTAATTACTCACCCTCATGCCGTTCCAAACCCGTAAGACTTTTGTTCATCTTTGGAACACAACTGAAGATATTTGTTTACAGTTTTGTACTGTCCATTGACAGCTACTCATCTACCACTTTGACACTTTGAAAAGAGAATGTAAAACTAATCCATATGAATTGAGCGGTTTAGTCCAAATTTTCTGAAGAGATACAATCGCTTTATATGATGAACAGATTTAATTTAGGCTTTTATTCACATATTAACATTCATCAACGCACACATTAGTTATGGTTAACGGAAGCTCAAGCATGTTCGGTTGACGTACAAAAACCAATGAGGTTCATTCTCGTGTTACACATCACGTTTGACCTTCAGCAAGAGCCAATGAGGTTCATTCTCGTGTTACGCAGCACGTTTGAGCTTCAGCAAGAGCCAATGAGGTTCATTCTCGTGTTACGCAGCACGTTTGAGCTTCAGCAAGAGCCAATGAGGTTCATTCTCGTGTTACGCATCACGTTTGACCTTCAGCAAGAGCCAATGAGGTTCATTCTCGTGTTACGCATCACGTTTGAGCTTCAGCAAGAGCCAATGAGGTTCATTCTCGTGTTACGCATCACGTTTGAGCTTCAGCAAGAGCCAATGAGGTTCATTCTCGTGTTACGCATCACGTTTGACCTTCAGCAAGAGCCAATGAGGTTCATTCTCGTGTTACGCATCACGTTTGACCTTCAGCAAGAGCCAATGAGGTTCATTCTCGTGTTACGCATCACGTTTGACCTTCAGCAAGAGCCAATGAGGTTCATTCTCGTGTTAGCGCATTACGTTTGAGCTTCTGCAAGAACCAATGAGGTTCATTCTCGTGTTACGCATCACGTTTGACCTTCAGCAAGAGCCAATGAGGTTCATTCTCGTGTTACGCATCACGTTTGACCTTCAGCAAGAGCCAATGAGGTTCATTCTCGTGTTAACGCATCACGTTTGAGCTTCTGCAAGAACCAATGAGGTTCATTCTCGTGTTACGCATCACGTTTGAGCTTCAGCAAGAACCAATGAGGTTCATTCTCGTGTTACACATCACGTTTGACCTTCAGCAAGAGCCAATGAGGTTCATTCTCGTGTTACGCATCACGTTTGAGCTTCAGCAAGAGCCAATGAGGTTCATTCTCGTGTTACGCATCACGTTTGACCTTCAGCAAGAGCCAATGAGGTTCATTCTCGTGTTACGCATCACGTTTGACCTTCAGCAAGAGCCAATGAGGTTCATTCTCGTGTTAACGCATCACGTTTGAGCTTCTGCAAGAACCAATGAGGTTCATTCTCGTGTTACGCATCACGTTTGAGCTTCTGCAAGAACCAATGAGGTTCATTCTCGTGTTACGCATCACGTTTGAGCTTCAGCAAGAACCAATGAGGTTCATTCTCGTGTTACGCAGCACGTTTGAGCTTCTGCAAGAACCAATGAGGTTCATTCTCGTGTTACGCATCACGTTTGAGCTTCTGCAAGAACCAATGAGGTTCATTCTCGTGTTACGCAGCACGTTTGAGCTTCTGCAAGAACCAATGAGGTTCATTCTCATGTTACGCAGCACGTTTGAGCTTCCGCAAGAACCAATGAGATTCATTCTCGTGTTACGCATCACGTTTGAACTTCAGCAAGAACCAATGAGGTTCATTCTCGTGTTACGCAGCATGTTTGAGCTTCAGCAAGAACCAATGAGGTTCATTCTCGTGTTACGCATCACGTTTGAGCTTCAGCAAGAGCCAATGAGGTTCATTCTCGTGTTACGCATCACGTTTGAGCTTCAGCAAGAACCAATGAGGTTCATTCTCGTGTTACGCAGCATGTTTGAGCTTCAGCAAGAACCAATGAGGTTCATTCTCGTGTTACGCATCATGTTTGAGCTTCAGCAAGAACCAATGAGGTTCATTCTCGTGTTACGCATCACGTTTGAGCTTCAGCAAGAACCAATGAGGTTCATTCTCGTGTTACGCATCACGTTTGAACTTCCTCAAGAACCAATGAGGTTCATTCTCGTGTTACGCAGCACGTTTGAGCTTCAGCAAGAACCAATGAGGTTCATTCTCGTGTTACGCATCACGTTTGAGCTTCAGCAAGAGCCAATGAGGTTCATTCTCGTGTTACGCATCACGTTTGAGCTTCAGCAAGAGCCAATGAGGTTCATTCTCGTGTTACGCATCACGTTTGAGCTTCAGCAAGAGCCAATGAGGTTCATTCCCGTTTTACGCATCACGTTTGAGCTTCTGCAAGAACCAATGAGGTTCATTCTCGTGTTACGTATCAGGTTTGAGCTTCTGCAAGAACCAATGAGGTTCATTCTCGTGTTACGCATCATGTTTGAGCTTCTGCAAGAACCAATGAGGTTCATTCTCGTGTTACGCAGCACGTTTGAGCTTCAGCAAGAACCAATGAGGTTCATTCTCGTGTTACGCAGCACGTTTGAGCTTCAGCAAGAACCAATGAGGTTCATTTTCGTGTTACGCAGCACGTTTGAGCTTCAGCAAGAACCAATGAGGTTCATTCTCGTGTTACGCAGCACATTTGAGCTTCAGCAAGAGCCAATGAGATTCATTCTTGTGTTACGCAGCACGTTTGAGCTTCAGCAAGAGCCAATGAGGTTCATTCCCGTTTTACGCATCACGTTTGAGCTTCTGCAAGAACCAATGAGGTTCATTCTCGTGTTACGCATCAGGTTTGAGCTTCTGCAAGAACCAATGAGGTTCATTCTCGTGTTACGCATCATGTTTGAGCTTCAGCAAGAACCAATGAGGTTCATTCTCGTGTTACGCAGCACGTTTGAGCTTCAGCAAGAACCAATGAGGTTTATTCTCGTGTTACGCATCACGTTTGAGCTTCTGCAAGAACCAATGAGGTTCATTCTCGTGTTATGCATCACGTTTGAGCTTCTGCAAGAACCAATGAGGTTCATTCTCGTGTTACGCAGCACGTTTGAGCTTCCGTAAGAACCAATGAGATTCATTCTCGTGTTACGCAGCACGTTTGAGCTTCAGCAAGAACCAATGAGGTTCATTCTCGTGTTACGCAGCACGTTTGAGCTTCAGCAAGAACCAATGAGGTTCATTCTCGTGTTACGCAGCACGTTTGAGCTTCAGCAAGAACCAATGAGGTTCATTCTCGTGTTATGCATCACGTTTGAGCTTCTGCAAGAACCAATGAGGTTCATTCTCGTGTTACGCAGCACGTTTGAGCTTCAGCAAGAACCAATGAGGTTCATTCTCGTGTTACGCAGCACGTTTGAGCTTCAGCAAGAACCAATGAGGTTAATTCTCGTGTTACGCATCACGTTTGAGCTTCTGCAAGAACCAATGAGGTTCATTCTCGTGTTACGCAGCACGTTTGAGCTTCCGTAAGAACCAATGAGATTCATTCTCGTGTTACGCATCACGTTTGAGCTTCTGCAAGAACCAATGAGGTTCATTCTCGTGTTACGCAGCACATTTGAGCTTCAGCAAGAACCAATGAGATTCATTCTCGTGTTACGCATCACGTTTGAGCTTCTGCAAGAACCAATGAGGTTCATTCTCGTGTTACGCATCACGTTTGAGCTTCAGCAAGAGCCAATGAGGTTCATTCTCGTGTTACGCATCACGTTTGAGCTTCTGCAAGAACCAATGAGGTTCATTCTCGTGTTACGCATCACGTTTGAGCTTCTGCAAGAACCAATGAGGTTCATTCTCGTGTTACGCAGCATGTTTGAGCTTCAGCAAGAACCAATGAGGTTCATTCTCGTGTTACGCATCACGTTTGAGCTTCAGCAAGAACCAATGAGGTTCATTCTCGTGTTACGCATCACGTTTGAGCTTCTGCAAGAACCAATGAGGTTCATTCTCGTGTTACGCATCACGTTTGAGCTTCTGCAAGAACCAATGAGGTTCATTCTCGTGTTACGCAGCATGTTTGAGCTTCAGCAAGAACCAATGAGGTTCATTCTCGTGTTACGCATCACGTTTGAGCTTCAGCAAGAACCAATGAGGTTCATTCTCGTGTTACGCATCACGTTTGAGCTTCAGCAAGAACCAATGAGGTTCATTCTCGTGTTACGCAGCATGTGTGAGCTTCAGCAAGAACCAATGAGGTTCATTCTCGTGTTACGCATCACGTTTGAGCTTCAGCAAGAACCAATGAGGTTCATTCTCGTGTTACGCATCACGTTTGAGCTTCAGCAAGAACCAATGAGGTTCATTCTCGTGTTACGCAGAATGGTTTGACCATACAGATTTGAAACGATGAGCATAAGTAAATGATGACTAAATCTTCATTTTTGGGTGGAATATGGCTTAAAAACATTACAAGTACCTTCAGTCAGCTTGTCAGCAACAAGTGTTTCTTCATCCTCGGTCTGTGGTTTGGTGACCACCATGGATGTAAGTGGTGTGACAAAGTTATACCTTAGAGAAAGGTCCAGAGCTTCAGCTGTGGCATTCTCCTTGTCCTCTGGTGAGCATTTTTCTCTGTCAACAAATTTTATTGGACATTGTATTATTTTTTTGTAATTCTCAGGTTGAATTATTTGAGCGCAAATGTCTCACGCTGACATTTTATCCAAGAGCTGCTGGATGGTCAGATATGCCCACAGTCGCTCTGTGAAATCGCCAAAGATGTACTCCTCCTCAGGGAACACACTGTCCCACTCTTCAGCAATTGCTGAACTCTCGAACACAAACTGGTCCTCCAACTGAAATTGGATGTATGGCACTTATGGAACAGGACAATCATACTGATTTTTATTAAAACCAATAGTGCTTCCCTTACCCCATGTGCAGATACTTCAGTCCGAAGTTTGTCAGTCTCAAGGTCTTGTAGGCGTCCGGCTACCACTATCTCGGAGCCTTTGAAGAATTGCCTGAAGTGACTTTGTGTCAAGTCAGTTACAGCGTTGCCAGGATAATTTAGGTTCACCCCAAAGAGAAGTGGGCTAGCCACCTCTTCATAAAAACCCTATAGAAAAGGAAATCATTCAAGACCCGGCTATTATCTGGATCAGGCTGCATATGTTAAATATAAGGTATTATATTTATTGATTGAGAGTATACGGTTGTAAGTTCTACCTGCAGTTGAAGGGCAGCATCTGAGGCCTCATAGACTCTTCGAGCGAGTCCGTCATTCTGCTTGGCCAACTTATCAAGGAGACTGTAGTCCACATCATAGCCAAAGCCCAAACAAAAGAGACTAATGCTTCCATTAATAGCTTTATGGACATTTTCTTGGATTATGGATAGATGTTGCTGCCCTTAAACACAAATTATTCAGTGCAGATTGTTAAATCTATATAATTGAAGGTTTGAGTTTTCTAAAGCAGGGGTTTTCAAACTTTTTGTTGCCATGGACCTACAATATAACAATCTACTTGTAACTGGTAGCCTTCCTAAAATATAAAAGTAAATCTATATTTTCATAAAAACTATTTATACTACTGGAGAAAATTAACATGATGTTGTAATGTTTCCTAAATTAAAGGTACAATATGTAAATATTTTGTAATAAAATATCCAAAAATCACTTGCACAGAGTGATACATTTCCTGCAGTTGTGTTCTTACAATATTCCAAAAGTCTCCAAAGGTTTTTTATTTCAGAGAAATTACAGTTTTAAGTAAGTGGCCGTCCCGGAAAAAAATGTTGCGTCAATGGCGCAATATCCACACTATCCTCGGTTTCCGTTCATACTGCCATAGCCATGACGTAACCATGGCGACAGACGTGGACAACTGCGTAGTGCGTAGCGTTTAGCGGCACGCAGTTCTTGTTTCTTTCAAACATAGACCATGGCGAGCAGACTTTGGGACAAACAAGGAGAACTAAAACGAGGATCAACATCAGCGTGGCGTTTTTGAGATGCCGAGAGCTAGCGTCCGCGACTAACTTGGACTCGACAGAGCTTCACGAGTCACGACTTGACAGCTTTATTAGACAGGTGAGCAAATGTACATAAAACAAATCAATGTTATATAACGTTAGCTCAACATGATGAAATGTTAGAATATGGTCAGTATGTCATTCTAATGTTGATCTAGCTTACTGCTAGTTTCGTATAGCAAACGAACTAACACGTAGTATAACATTATAACTTTCAACACACATTTAAATGGCGTTTAGTGTGATAGTGTAACGTTAGACCAAGTGAAGCAGCGCTGCGTGACCTCACAAGTTTAATTCGTCTAATAAACTGACCTGTGTGAGTAATCCAGCACTCGCGGGTAGTTCGGTAGAATTAAATGTCCTTATTCCTTTATATCCGCGGGACTCGCGTGTGATATCTGTCTCTTTAGCAATCGCGACCTGCTTCATACCACTGTAATGTTAAAAAACATGAATGTTTGCACTCATCCATAAACATTATTAGATCCATCAGCTTGACAGCAAGTCCCATCATTCAGCTCATCACTGCGTCATCAACCTACGCCTTTGTTATTGTTGGAAACTACGCCCTCTTGTGGCGAAAAAATCGTACATATTGTGCCTTTAAATAAATTGCCTTTTTATTAGGGCTGGGAATTGCCGTAGACCTCCGGATTCAGTATTACAAAAATATTTAGCTGCCGATTCTGTACGTATTGCATTTTTTGTATGTATTTAGTGTTTTATACATTTTAGCCCTCAGTGTTTAAGCTGCTAAAGTTTCCGTACAAGAGCAGTGGATGTTGTTTTTCTTTTTCTCAACATTATTAATAATAAAATAATAAGCATAATCAACATCATAGACAGCGGCAGCTCGCTTTATGCTACATTTACCACTGAAAGACTTTTATTTTGGTAGGCTATATTAGTAGTTTTTCCCTTTCTGATTACAATCCCTTAATCAATTCGCCTCACACAAGTTTCTTTTGCTGAGGCGAATACCTGCTTGTGCCTGACACATACTTTGAAAGTTGAACTTATTTTAACTTGGCACAGAATCTTATGTGAGCTGTGAGCTCATCTATTTTTCCTAATTTTTTGCCCCTATAAAGCCATAGCACTCCTCAGTACCCAGTTTGAAAACCCCAGTTGTAAAGCATTTTGAATAGGCCTACCCAATATAGACAACACATTTTAAGCTAAGATTACTTGATTATTACAAATTAATTGATTCGGTTATAGTAATTATTACCAAAGAAAAAAAAAGTTTAAAACAGTCTTGTATTCTCAATGCAAAGCCAATACACACCAGAACTGGGTCGGCCATCAGTCAGTAGGATGATCATAGACATGTCTGGGAAGTAGTCACTTTTTTCTGAGGTAAGCATGTCCACGGCATACAAAATTCCCTCATTTATATCAGTCACTGATGGAAAATTATGAGAGAATGTTTTAATAGAGCAGCAGGAGTGATTTTGGCATTTAATGTATGGAATGCTATGCACTCCAGTATATATTTTTTCTCAATAAAACCAGTAATTTACTGTAAAATAGAGGTGTTATGCTGTGTTTCATGAGAACCATGGCTCTAAGTGTCAAGAGTACTAACAGCTACAGCAAGCCATGATTTCAACCTTGTGCAGGGTTTACAGTATGATGTTTCGCTTCATACTTACTGTGTCTTGCTTCAATACTCTGGACGAATTCTTTTGCTTCTTTCACATTTTCTGGTGTAGCTTTGCTAAGAGATGGTTTCCATGACTCTACAACATCATCAAACGTGACCAACCCAAAGTAATCCTCTTCATGCAGTTCACTTAATATGGTCATCAGAGCTTCTCGAGTCTACCAACAGATAATCGGCCGATGACTTAAATGTGTGAACTAGGAAAGTGGATGTAAAGTATTTGTTGGACTTGCCTGTTTCATCTTCTCTCCCTCCATGGAGCCACTTCGGTCTATCACAAATACCACATTCTTAGGCATTTGTGGCAAATTATCTGGAGCAAAAAAGTGTACAAAGTAGCCATTTACTATCTGAAACATAAAAACACAAGAAAAAACCACCATTAGAATAATGCATGATTAGAAAGAAATTCATTGTAAAAAATGGCTTTGCTGATATTGTACCTGAATTTCACCTATATCCTGTGGGTGGTTCACATCATACTTGATGAATAAATCTCCATCAATCAATGTCCCTTCACAGTCTGAGCATTTTTTCTGTTGATCCAATGTAGGAGAGAAGTACACATGTGCCTGAGGACGAGCGTAGAGGATCAGTGTTATGAGGATAGCAGGAAGTGTTTAGACATTAAAAATGTGTATTTTTGAAACTGAGGTGTTTTTAGACTCCTTATTAGTGAAATGAGATGCTGTGTGTTCTGGTAGTAAGATCGTAGTTGTAATCACTGGATCAAAATGCTTATTACTAGAATCTGTCGCTTGGTTAGGACACAGTGTAAGGAGGAGCTAGTCAAACAAATTAAACTCCAGGGGCCATGTATTTTCACTTTACACCTACCTTTGACTAGATACTGTATGCCGAAACAGTGCAACAGGTATTAATTCTACACAGGACTTAAAATGCATTTTAGGTCCAAACTAGTCTAACAACCGGGTGTACGTCCAGCTGCTGCAACCGGTAATTTGAGAGTTTAAAATAAACTTTACTTTTTTTTGTGACATTAAGTTTCAGTTTCGAGATAAAGTTGCAATTACAAGAAATAAAGTAGCAGTTATGAGTTAAATACTCACAATTATGACATAAAGGCACAACTAAAAACAAAAGAGATATAGTCACATTTTGAGAAATAATCAATAGCCCCTTTCACATTTTTTTAATTTTATTTTGTTGTTTTGTGTATTTTTTTATTTGACTAAGATATAAACAGCCTTCCATATCAATCCACCAATGTTGGGGGATTGTTTGAGAGTTTTCATTCTAACCTTTTTATCAGCGACAGTTTTCTTCACTAGAGGAAGCAACTCATTGGTGATGAATGTACCATTGACATCCACAAATGCAATTCCGTTAGGTTCATAGATATCTACCACAATCTGTTGATGAGAAGACACGGGCCTGATATAGCATAGTTTACAATATTTAAATATTTCCACTGAATATGTTTAGTAAAAGAGAAACTAATGATGAACCTCAAAATTCTGAACCAGCTGTTTAGGTCGGACACCTATCATGATCTCATAGCTGCCAAGATGGCGCTGTAGCAGCTCTTCGTAAGTAAGAGTGAATGTGACGTGGCTCTGGGGTGGGATATTCACGGAGACTGAGAACTTCTCCATGTGCCTCCCCGAAGCCCTGAAAAAGCAAAAACAACTCTGATATCTGGTCATTGAGATTAGCAAACACCGAAAAGCAAATATGTGTACTCTGTCAGCATCCCAGAGCTTTGCCGTTGACCTGTACTCACTTAACCAGACCAGCGGTCTGGCCGGACGACACGGCGCTCTCATACTTCTGCCTGGCCTGCTCCTTTTCCTTCACTTCACTGACATATATCCTGCTCTCAATCTCTCTGAAAAAACAAACACAAAGAATTTCATTAGGTCATAGTGGGTTTGGGCATGTTGCAAGTGTAATATATTTATAGCTTGTGTAAACAAAGGAGGACTAACATGCTAAAGTTGGTGATGAAGGCTGTTTTGGGTAAGTCCACCTCAAAGAACACTTCCTGTGATGCATTGGCTGTGTTCAGGGCTTTGGTGGTCATAACTGTGTGAGCAAAGCGAGACGCGACCTTGCAGTCCACTCGCATACTTTGCACTTCTATCTGAGAGAGAGACTGAAAGATAGTAAGAGAAAGTTAAGAAATCTGCTGTACAGTTGTAACTGAAAACACATGAATTTCACATGTGCAGAAACTCATGTGGTCACATGTGAAACGTGTTTTGCACATGGGAAATGTGTGCTTTTGGAACATTTACACATGTGATCACATGTAAAACAAATGTAAATTTCCCATGTGAAACCTATTATCACATGTGAAACATGTGATACCATGTGGAAAACATGTGATAACGTGAAATTCATGTGGTTTTTCTGGAAGGGAAAAACGAATCGGTTACCTAACGTAACCTCGGTTCTCTCTAGATGAGGGAACGAGTATTGCGTAAGCTAGCTTACGCTACGGGAAAGATTCATCTTTTCTGAGATATTGAAGCCAAAAAATTATCCTTAATTTTGTATCCATTGTCAACGCAGTGCAGCAGCTGCAGACCTTGAGCGGGCTAGCTAGCGAGCTCATTGGTTGCTCTGCGGCAACTGCTGCAGCCTATAGATAAACTTGAGTGAACTCGCGTCCAATGAGAGGCACTCGCGCCTTCATCGCATCATAGCCCGCCAGAATGGGCGTGGCTAGAGTGTATATAAGCGAGGTTCGTAGGCTGCTTCCCTGGTTTTCATTGAATGAAGCGAAAACGCTTGTGGCGCGAGCACGGCCGGCTACGCAATACTCGTTCCCTCATCTAGAGAGAACCGAGGTTACGTTAGGTAACCGATTCGTTCTCTTACGAGAGGTTCTCTCGTATTGCGTAAGCTAGCTTACGCTACGGGAACCCATTGTCAACGCCGTGTGCGCCAAGCATCCACTGCATGAGCCCCGGGGGACCCCGAGGAGCCCTATGAGTGGGGAAATAATATTTGGCCGGCAAGAGTGCGGGCCAGTGTGTATGTAATACATAAGCACATAGTGGGATGGGAAGACAGAGCGGCGGTGCCGGTCTGTGTGGAATGTGTCCCATCAGTGCAGCTCACCAGGAGAGCTGTAGCATATTAAACCGCTAGTAATTTTGCCTGCAGGGCGGGCACTTCCAGATTGTAAAATCTGACAAAGGTGGAGGGGGAAGCCCATCCCGCTGCCACACATATGTCGTGAATGGAAATCCCGCTGGACCATGCCCACGAGGAGGCCATGCCTCTAGTGGAGTGAGCCCTAATGCCGGGAGTATATTGCTAAGCAACAGTGTATATTAGAGGAGGAATGCTGAACTCTTATTCTGTGTATTCTTGTATTTGTTGTGTGAAAAATACATAGCATAAACTTAACAGCTGTTTGAAAACATGTAAATACAGTTTTACTTTCTTCTCTGACAATCTCTTAGAAATCTGTCAGAAATGAAAAGTTGCACTTTGTAACTTTTTGTACCTAGGTAACCGGCCCGGGGTTTTCCTGCTTTTCTAACCATCTTATTTTTTGATGTGTAAATAGTGTTGGGGCGGCCATTTTTAACTTGAAAGGCTTCCGGTGTCAGCCGCTTCCAGTTATTTTAGCTGTACAAAAACAGCCTGTTATCCTGATTGATGTTGGATATTTATGTATGTGATTATAAACATGGCACCATTAGTCTTTAGCGTAAAATAGTTTTACTGTTTATGGCACTTTGTTAATAGCTTACTTCCACACTGAAAAATAAAGTGGATAAATGTCACCTACTGTCAGAGTCAATTTGCATTTTCATTCATTAAAAAAAAAAACCTTTCAATAGGATTGCTGATTATTAATTGTTTAATTCTCTAATTAATTTAGTTAAATGACCTTAAATGGCACTGCTGTGAAGTTCTGTACTCTTACTTGTCAATGTTTTACATCAACAGAAGGTGAGAAATTTCACATGTAATATGTTTAAAACTTTATGGAACTTCCATGGAACACCAAAGGAAAAAATTAGTTGAGAAATGTAGTTTCTGACCAATTCTACGTTCTCTCTCTAATGAAAGTGTATAGGACCTGGGGCTGTCAGGCTCCAAAAACGGTATCAAAGCATCATAAAGTAGGTAAGTAAGAAATTGATCGATGGAAAGAACTTAACAATTATAGTGACATGTTTGCTAAGAGAAAAAAACAATTAAAAGCCATGCATGTGTTGCAGGGCCGGAGTGGGACTAATTTTCAGCCCTGGAGTTTCATACCTTAGACCGGCCCACTTTAGTTCCCGACCGACTATATTAAAAATAATGTAATTAAACCCTCAGTATAAGTCTGCAATATGTAAGTCTGCACTGTTCTGTACAACCTTGTATTTTTCAAAAATATAATTTTCTATTCAGTGCAATAGCCGTACACAGGGTTTTATAAATACAAAGGTCCCAAAAGTGATCTGGGTTCGGGGGCATATTATTTTTCCACTGTCATTGGCAAAGAACATGTATATCTGTGTTAAATAGGAATCCATTGTAATAAAGTTATTCTCATTCTGGGCACAATATGCAATTGGCTATTCCTCTACCTGCTCTCCTCTCTCATCTCCATCTCCTTCTCTCATTCTTCTTCTCTCAGTCTCTTTATCTTTAGGTTACCTTTGATTGATACAGTCTTTGCAAACTGATTATTTATGTCGGTCGTTTAAAACTTCTATGGTAAAACAGCTGTTTAGTTTAGCCACTTGCATCTTATCTCGTAAAGCGCCGCGTTGGGATTCGCGCGCGGCTCGCGCTTCTGTGAACATAAATCCCGCTTGCTTTGATCGGTCATCTCAAACATTTTGCCATTGCCGACGAGCGGTGTTGAGTAGCTACTGAAGCAGCTCAGATTATGAGGTCGGTTATCGTCGCAATATGCGAATCATTGCAGCACCAAATTAGAGTATTAGGCAATTATTTCACAAAGTTCATTATACAATCGAGGACCGAGGTCCGGACCTCGGAGACTTCAATGGTGGGTACGGCACTGAGGCTATTTGGCCGCTTGAGTTTCTAGAGATTTTTTATTATTCTGGCCTTTTCAGCGCCGCCTTTGCGCCTATTATCCATGTTTTGTATCTCTTATTTTTTGTTCGCACGTACATCTCTAACAACTGACTTTTTTTTGTGGGGCTGCGAGAAAATAACAATAAAAAAATAGTGAGGCTGCGCTGTGACTGGAGCATTCAACCCAGTGCCATGACAACACCGGCCCTCCTGGCCAATAAAACAGACCGGCCCATCGGGAATTTTCCCGGTGCTCCTGATTAGCCAATCCGGGCCTGATGTGTTGTTTCTTTTGTGTTCATGGTTAAGTGCTAATCTAATTTGCATTCCCGCTGAAAAACAAGTGTTCTAGCGTGAAAATGTTGCCTATAAATAGTGTTGCGTGCCGCCTTATCAAATTCACATGATCAACCTCTCCTCTATTTTGCTTGGGAACTAATCTGGTCGGAACCAAAGTTTACTTGACTGCATTCTCTGGAATCCTCTCAAGCGGAGGACTTCTAAATTCCGATTGGTTGCTGCCGGTTGCCATAGATATCCATAATAAAGGCTAGATTTCCGCACCTGGCGGCCATCTTGTCACAGGCAGCTCGCTCACTCGTAACATTGTTACCCTTTCAAGGGAACTCAACGCTGCGTATAGCGCTGCGGGAACGCCCCTGCGTGATTGCGTCATGAAGCACTCGTGAAATCAGTCCAATGACGTGATGGGACGTCCTAGGCGGGTGACCTCATTGACCAGGAACCTATAAAGCACCCCTGGACCGAACAAACACTAGCTTCTGTGTCTTCACAAGCGCTCTATGTGAAATCGTATCTGTCTATTTGATGTGTGTTTGTCTCTCTAAATATATTATGGAAAAGCAGCAATTTAAGCAGTGTGTCACTCCCTGTCCTCGTTTCATCACGGGTGGGGATACACACGAGCTTTGTGTGATGTGTTTGGGATTGGAGCATGCCCAGTCAGCTCTTGAGGGAGTTGGCTGTGAGCATTGTGAGAAGCTGGCAATGAAAACTCTCCGGTCCCGCCGAGCACTCTTCGAGGAGGGTGCTTCGGCTCGCGTTCCCCAGGGCTCGGGTCCCGCTGCTGCTGAGGCACGGCGAAGACGCTCGTCCTGCGGTTCGCAAATGGATTTAACGGCGGGGTTAGAGACGGGTGATCCCCTATCTCTTCCCTTAACCGTTGAATCCGACGCTTCAGTTCACGAGTCAGAAGCATGCGCTGCTTCTTCTGCTCGCGCTGAAGCGCAAGTGCAGCAGCACTCCAGTTCCGAGGAACTGGATGTTGTGAGCTTGGGAGATGAGGATTTTGCATCACACACAGTCACACACACACAAGAGGTTGTCACTCGCGCTGTTGCTAGATTAAATATTGACTGGCCAGCCAGTGAACAGGAGTCATGTCGATCAAAGAGTAAATTAGATGAACGATTTCTGCCATCTAGATCGCAACCTCCAAAGCGGGGCTTACCGTTCTTTCCTGATCTCCATACTGAGGTATCGAGGTCATGGATTAGACCGGCATCATTCAGAGTTTTTAACCCAGCGACATCTGAATATTCAAATATAGTAGGGTTAAAGAAACATGGTTATGCGGCGATGCCTCAGGTGGAAGAGACGCTTGCGAGCTATCTCTCCCCCGAGTCTGCATCGTCGCTGAAAGCCCCGCAGCTGCCCACTAAACCAGTAAGAACAACATCGGTTTTAGTGGGTAGGGCATATTCGGCAGCAGGTCAGGCGGCTGCCAGTTTACATACTATGGCGGTCCTACAGGCATATCAGGCTGACTTATTAAAAGACATAGACGATGAATGTGAGGAAGTGGGGAGAGATACAATAGCGGAGGTCAGGAAGGCAGCTGATCTATCTCTTCAGGCCACCAGGGAAGCGGCAAAATCTATCAGCCGCTCTATGGCAGCTCTGGTGGCCACGGAGAGGCATCTCTGGTTAAATCTCTCTGACATTAAAGAGAGAGATAAAAGATTTTTGTTAGATGCTCCTGTCTCCTCTACCGGTCTTTTTGGCGACTCAGTAAATTCGGTCGTCGAAAGATTTCAAGAAGCGAAAAAGCAGGCAGCTGCATTT